GGGTGGGGGGGGGGGGGTTGCTCGACGGTGCGCACGACCATTCGCACAGGCAGGGGACGAAAAAAGTTGGAGAAGAAGGGGGGCGGATGGGGATTCGGGAGAAGGAGCGGCGGTGACGAAAAATAAAAGAAATAACTAGCGGGTTTGGATCGTAATCCCCGCTCCTCTCGCTGCTGCCCGCGCGGTCTGCTCAGCCAGCGTTAATCATCGTTATGTTATAAGACGGCGTCGTGTACGCGCCCTTCTTTTCCTCGTCCCGCTTATCCCTCCTCCACCTCTTTGTGGTTTCGGTCACCGCCGCCGCCACGCTCCGCCCATCCGCAGGGTTTGACACCCACCGCGCGCGCGGGCGATCCAGCTTTTATTCTCCATGAAATTGATCGCCCTGCCAGTTAGCCGCTCGGCCTGGCTTTTTTCCGCCCTTCGTGCCATCGCTCCGCCGCACCCCCGCGCCGCCTCGCCCCGCCACGCCCCACCGCGCTCCTGATACACTGGGTGCGGGAGGGGAGGGTGGCGGGAGAGCAGAGAGAATGCTCGTCCGATACCTACGTTTGCCTCGTAATTGCTATCCCCCTCCCCCCTCTTCCTCCCCTCGCCTTCATCCTCCCTGGCAGGGTTTTACTGCTCGCGCTACGCCAAGTGCAGCAGCGCGGCCGCGGGGCGTGTCGTGAATGCGGCGGCGCGCGGCCCCGGAGCGCCCGCCCAGCGCGGGGTAGGCAGGCCCGCCACGCAGCCGCGCCACCGCGCTGCCCACCTCCCGGGCTGCCCGCCGACCGTCGTCCTCCCCATCTTTCGCGCCGCTCGTGAGCGTTTTACTCTTTTGCCCCGCGCTTTCTTCATTACTTACATTTTCTTTCCCTGCTCCTCCGTTTTTCTTTCTCATTCCCCCCTCCCCCTCCCCTCTCGCTCCCCCTTCCTCCCTGGCCGCCGCCGCTAGGACGAGGAGGGGGAAGGAAGCGCCGGGTCTCCGGCCCAGCGGAACTTCCTTTTCATCCGCAGGCCTTTATTTGTGTCAGTGCGGCTTTGATCGGGTTCCGCGGGTCCAATGCGGACGTGGTGGTGCGTAGCAATGGCGTTGCTGGGCTTACTACTTGGAGGCCTACTCTGCGGCCCGCGGCCCCGGGGCTGGTCGGCCGGGTCAGCGCCAAACACCTCGGCCTGTTACACTTTTATGAAGGAAGTTGCTTACTTGGTAATAGCGAGGCCACTCCCCCCCCCCCCCTCTCTCTCTCTCTCTTCCTCTCTGTCGTGCCCTTCACTCTCTCGCTCTGTCCATCTTTCTATCCACTCCCCCCTTCCCCACGTTTTTTTGTGGCGCGCTTTGTGGCTTCTTCCCTTTCACTCATCCGTTATACTCTTTTTTTTTCCATTCTTCGCGAGCTAAAGCCGCGCTCTTCTTATCCAGTAGCTTTACTTTCTATTTTTCTCTTCTTCCTATTTTTTTTACCTCGAAGGAGTAAGCAGCAGCACCGATTTACTTACCGCGGGATTGATGGCTTCGGCATTATGTTGGGATAGGGGGCGGGGCGGGGCGGAGATGGAAGCAGCCCCCTTTTTGTTTTCGTTATTTCGTATTGGTCGCTCCATCATACGAGCCTGACATGCTGCAGATTAGCCGCGCAGTGGCGTGGCGTGGCGTAGTGCGCAGAATTGTGGTGGCAGCAGGGCGGAGAGGGGTGCCGCGCACAAGCCAAAGGTACCAACACTAACTGACAGCGCCCCACATGTTGTGCAGCAGCAGCAGCAGCCTTGGGGCCTTTCTCCTTGCGAGTCATTCTCGCGCGCACACTCACGCACAGACGCATACCGCTCACACACGCTCGCACACGCACACACACACATCACACACACCACGCACGCACGCACACACACATTACACACACCACGCACGCACGCACACACATTTCATCGAGGCGGACGGCCTCAGGTCCTTAGTGCTGCTCCGGGGTGGTTTAGACGCTGCTGGACTTTATGGCCAGCGGAGGGTTGACTGCGTGCGTGCGGTGCGCTGCCAGCCTTCCGCCTTGGGCAAAGTTTTTGAAACTTGGTGCGGTGTGTAGCCTGAGGGTGATTACCTACCTGAACGCACGAGCGAGGAGATGCGACAGCAGTCGTAAGTTCTTGTTTATGTTTTGGTGGCTGTACGGCACGTGTGGTGCTGTTAATTCTCCTACTATTTTGCTTTATTTCGCCGAGAAAAAAAAAGTATGAAAGATGCTCCGTTTGATAGAGAGTACCCCCCCCCCTCCTATTCTACCATGCAGAACAAAGCCTTATTAAGGTTTATACTACCCCTCTTTATCCTCTCATTACCCTTCGCTTTAATGCAGGGCTGGGTGCTCTTTAGTTACACGGATGAAACTTTGTAAGTTGACTTGATTGATGCTCCAAACAGAAGTAAATATATTTTCTGGCGAATTTGTCTCTCTCTCTCTCTCTCTCTCTCTCTCTCTCTCTCTCTCTCTCTCTTTTGCTACTTTAGTTCGGTTTACTGCCGTCGTGCCGATAAACCTGATAAAATTTTAAACTTTGGCCGTATTTTTTTGTGTGTGTTCGTCGAAGGGGTTTTGATCTTTCCCTCACGGCCGCCGGGTCCCTTTCACCATCAGCCGCCCGCCCAGGCCGTGCCTCTCCGCGCGCACCTTTCACATCTGAGACGCAGCCCGGCCGGGCGGCCCCGCCCCGCCGCACAACATAAATATCACCATAAACGGGGCGTATTTACGATCTTGCTGTGCCCCTCCCCTCCCGCCCCTCTTCCATACGACGCCCCGCGGCCAACAGACATAAACAGACATATCAGCGAGACGCAGACAAAACGCCTTACGACGCCGATAAGACCCGCAGTCATATTCCAAAAGCCAAAAGTTTTGTCTTTTGGCCGCGCGCTCGAGGGGGCGGGGGGCGGCGCGGGGGTGGGCTGCGAGAGAGGAGGAGCGGGAAGGGACTCGAGCCATGAATCATAACTTGGTATATATACACGTTTGCTAATGGCGGGCGTAAAGGAGTAAAGTCGACGGGGAGGAGGAGGAGAAGGAAGTGGAGGGATCTGATTTAGCTCTGTTATTTATATCCGGGCTACCAGGTCAGAAAGGAGGGGTGAGAGGGGAGGAATCATACCGCTCTCTGAAGGAACTGGATGCGTACCAAAGCCCACAGAAATAAGGTGTGTGGCTCTGGAAAAAAATAAAGACATGCCAAAGTAGTGTGCTGTTGCTTTCTACTTAGTGGGTTTTGGACACGCATTATAAGTACTTTCATGCCGCTCATCTCAAGGCGCGGCCGCACAATTTTCCCTGCGCCATTGTC